CCGCCTGACGTCACAAAGCTCCGCTCGGGGCGGCCGCCGGGGCGGGCCGGGGGCGCGCGGGAGGGGGCGCGGGGTTCCCCGCCGGCGCCGCTCCCCCGGGGCCGTCGCGCACGGACGCGGGCTGCAGCGGGGCCCGTCCGGGGCTGGGCGCGGAGGCGCAGTGCGGAGCCCACCGGGACCGGCGGGGAGGCGTCCACCTCCGGGCCTCGCGGATCGCAAGCGTCCGCGGAAAGGCCCCGAGGGCGGGAGCGCAGGGCGGCGGGGACGCTGCCCTGGCCGCTGCTTGGGGCCCCTCCCCCCCGCCCGGGGCCGGCCTCGCCCCCCGCTCCCCGCACCGTGAGACCCCAGCCTCGGGGTCTGGCGCCCAGTGGCCGCCTGGGCACTGCGCGAAGTCCCGGCGGCGCGAGCAGGGGTCGGGGCGGGCCGAGGGGACGGGGGGAGCAGGGGAGGTAGCGGCTGGTGCGCCGCAGCGGCCCAGTTTCACTTGGCGACACCATATGCCCGGCGCCTACCTGGGCGTCATGAGGGCGCGCGCCTGGCTCAGGGCTGTCCTGTGTGCCCGGGGGTGACCCGCACCAGGATTGGGGAGGATGCCCCTAGGTCGCCAGGGAGACCGCGGGTACTATACGACCCCGCCGGCGGGACGGGCTGGGGCGCCACGCGGCCGCCTTACGAGGGAAAGGACCGCCTTCCCCGAGCGACAGCGGGGCTCTCCGGCGCGCGCAGCCAGCCCGCTGGGGGCAGTGGGAGGTGGAGACGCCCAGCAGTCCTGGGACCCCCACCCGGACCCTGCCCCGTGCGCCTCCAGCCTGGGAAAAGTTGCGCCTCCTGCACCCGCCAGGGACCCCGTAGCCAGTTGCAGTGACCTTGCCCGGAGCGCGGCGCAGGCGGCTCCTTAAGCCAGGCCAGCCTGGCTCGGCAGCGAAGGCTGGCCTGCAGCCCGGTTGTCCTGACAACCGGACGCCGCCGCCGGCCCGCCCCTCGCTCGCAGGGCTTGGACCTGCGCCGCGGCCGACGCCCCTGGCGCCGCGGGGACAGTCCTGGCGGCCACGGCGCAGCGCGTCCTCGCCCTCCCGCGGCCGCGCGGGCGGCGAGCCGGCCAAGAGGAGCCAGGGCGGAGCTGGGGGCCCGCGGGGGCCTCGCACTGCCCTATCACCCCAATTTCAATTTTACAGAGCTGGGGAGTGAGGCCTGCCGGCTGAGAGTGCCTGTGCTCTAGAGGGCTGGGGACCCCCGCGGAGTGAGGGACCCCCACCAAGAGGCTTCAGGCACTTCAGTGGCCACCCCTCCAGGATCAGCTGCCCCTCCCCGTGACCGCTTGGCCCTGGGACCTGCCTGTCTGCACCCACAGGCCTTTGCAGCCTCCCCCTCCAGAGCTGGGTGGGGCTGATTTGGAGCAGGGACACAGGCAACAGGGACCCCTGCTGGCACTGGGCGAGGAGGGCTGGCCGGGGCTAACCCGGGCTCAGCAGGGGAGCCAGGGCACCCCAATGCCTGCTGGGCACTGTCCTTCCTTGGCATTGGGGACATCGTGTGGACCAGCTTGTGGGGGTGTCAGCTCCCAGGCTGGTGGGGACGTTACCGGTGGGGATGTGTCAGTGTGCGCGCAGGGTCTGTATGGATGGGGTATCTAGAAAAAACGCCCTGGAGGGTGATGCTTGAGTGACGCAGGGAGGAGGGGCCTGCAGGGGAAACCTGGGCAATGCGGGGTTCAGGGCTGAGGTGCTGGTGCTCGGGGCACGGGGGTGGGGGTGCAGAGAGGCACCAGGTTGTGGTGAGGAAGGCAGGCTTCTGGGTAATTCCCAGATGTCAGTCGGCTGTGGGAAGACAGCGGTACCTGAGGATGCCGGGCTGTGGGAGGGGCCGGGCTGAGGGGAGGTGGAGCCTGCTGGGACTGTGTGTGCGGGGCGCCCCCAGAGGGACCTGAGGGCCGCAGACCCACCTGTAGCTCCCTAGTCCCAGGCAGGGGTCTCAGAGGGGAGAGGGGTGGGAAGGAGTGAGAAGGGGCACCCTGCCCCATCCTCTGGCCTCTGCCCCAGCCCACTGTGTGCTGTGCTTTCTAAGTGAGCTTGGAAACTGTAAAAACCTGTTCTCTAGTGTGCTCTAGGGTTTTAGAAGGGGGTCCAGCAGATTGACAGGTGGCTGTCCAGGGCCTCCCCGGCAGGTGCATCACCCCAGCCCACTCACCTGCTCCCGCTCCCCAGTGGCTTCCTCACCACCATTCCTGTTTCCAGAGCTGCTGATTAGAATGTAGATGTCCTTCAGAGGGGTCTTGGGTGCTGACCCCCCATTGCTGCTGCCTCCTGACCCAGTGTTCCCTGAGTGTCCCCGTCAAGGGCCAACCTTGCCCCATCAGCCAGGCCCAGCAGGTCCTGGGCAGTCAGGGCTGAGGGTGGCTGCCTGGGGAGGCCCTATGGGGGACCCTGCTGAGGGAGGCCTAGGCCAGGAGTCTTCTCTCTAGGTCTCTGGACTTTGCCCCTAAAGCCTTTGCTCCTTGCCACAGGTCCCACAGCCACTATCAGGCCTGCCAGCACTCAGCCTTGGCCTGGCATGCCCTATAAGGGTTTATAGGGTTGATGCCACCAGTCACCACCACCACCATTAGCATGCCCCCCACACACACTGTTATCCCCAACAGGGGCAGTAGTGGCACCCTCAAGCCCCATGCCACATTCCTGTGCAGCACCCACACCTTGGCTAGTGTTGGTGCCGAAGGGCCTCACAGAGGCTGGGGCTTGCAGAGAGCTGTGCCCACCCGTGTCCTTGGCAGAGAAGCTGGGGCAGCCTCTGTGAGCAGGGTGGCTTTCAGCAGTGGCCCGGATCCCCATCAGGCCTGGATCCAAGACGCCCCGCAGTGGCAGGCATCTGAGCAGTAACATTTTCAGGGTGAGGAATCTCTTCCCCAAATAAGTGCTTTAGTTTCAAAACAGTCGATCTGTGGCGTTTTCTGTTTTTTGCTCAAAATAAGCCTGTTCTCTTGACAAGGAGAACAATGCAGAGCTTTCCGGGGTGGCGTGGGTCGCAGCGAGCATCTCAGCTTCTTCCTGCACACGGCAACCCTGCACCCAAGGCTCAGGGTGCGTCCGGCGCTCCGGTTACTTGGTGTGCGGCAGGCCCTCCGTGTCCCAGTGTCGGGGGGAGGTGTCGATCCGAACTACTTGAGCTCTCCTTAGACTCCAAGGTTGGCAATGTTCCTCGTGAATCTCTGCATGAGGAGGCACGGCGTGAAATGGCCTGACGCAGAGTCACAGTCCTAAGGCCTGCCTGCCTCACAGAAATGAAGTCGTGCGCATGGAAGCGCAGAAAAGTATGCGTGTCTCCCCAAAGGGCAGCTCTGAGGGGCCACAGCGGGGCCGGCCGAGGTGGGGGTGGACACGGCTGGAGTGGGTCTTTGAGGAGGCACCCTCCAGACTCGCAGAGCTGAGGGAAGGGTCTTTCAACTCGCCTCCAGCAAGTAGACTGATAGGCGGGGCAGCCACACTGAGATGCAGACCGGGAGCGCGGGAGGCGGTCAGGAAACACACCTCAACTCTGAGCAAAAGAGGGAAACGGCAAATGACAGACAGCGTGGGAAGGGCCGGGGGCTGCCCTGAGGACCGAAAGGCTCCGGAGGGCCGGGGGCAGGGGGGGCGACCATCCAGAGAAGCCGAACCAGCTCCCTCGGGGTCTGGGAAGACCCGGGCCCACAGCCAGGAGGGAGGCGGGGCTGCCCTGGGCACGAGGCGCAGAGCCCCATGCACGCCAGCCTCCACCCAGGGGACACCCGCCGACACGGGGCGTGCTCCCTGCCTCCCCTGCTGGTGGGCTGAGGAAGGACACCATCGAAACCGGAGCAGAAACCTTGGCGTGAAGCAGAGCCCCTTGGCATGTCTGTGTCCGCATGGCCGTCAGGCCAGCTGGGAATGTGGAATCAGTGTGCCGTGCACACTCCTGCACTCCCTCCTCCAGGGAGGGGCACTCCTAAGGGGAGTGAGTGGGAAGCACCACCGGACCTCAGTGGAACAGGGCGGCCAGGATGGGTGCATCTCCATGGCAGTCTGGGTGCGACGCAGTTACTGAGAGGACGCGGAGGCAGAGGCGCTGTGCTGGCTCTGGCCTAGGCCTCAGGAAGGTCTCGGAGCGCCCACCCTGCACCCCAGAGCCCTGCCCTGCTGTGGAAGAGGGCGAGATGCGCCCCTGCGAGAGCACACCGGGACATGTGCAGAGGGCAGGGGCACCTTCCAGGAGACCTTGAAAGGCATGGGTGTGGGGGGGAGCCGTCCAGGACCGTTCTGTCCAAGGTCACAGCATAAGGGGGACCAGCCTGTCAGCCCATGCAGCATAAGGGATCACAAAACAGGTGCTGTGTGGGCCACTATGCGGTTTGTCACCCAGCTCTAGGCGGCGGGGGTGGCGTTCAGGCAGAAGCACCTGGTGGCCTCATCTGTCATCTCGGAGGGGAGGCACGGGCCTTGGGGTAGCGAGGAGGAAAACTGACATTTACTTTCAAGATTAAGAGAGAAATACCTGTATGAATAAGAGATGGTAAAGGGAATGTAGTCCTACGAGAATGGAGAGGGCATGGCGATTCAGGTGACACAGAGAAGGTGGAGTGGACAGCAGCCTGAACAAGCTGGGAACACAGGCACGAGAACATAAGCATGGAGGGAATTAGATCAAGTGTGTCAGCTCCGGGGGGCCCCCCAGGTGCTGAGTGCTAAGCCAGGAGGGAGGCCAGCTGCTGTCCTGGGGCAACAGTGAGCTCCTTCACCATCTCACAAGGTGGAGGGAGCAGTATCCCCCGGAGGGCAGGGCCTGCAGCAAACCGCTGACAGCTGTCAACCTCCAGACATTTGGAGGCAGAGGTAAACTGAGTCCAGCTCAAGTGCTACACAGGCTCAACCCAGCTCAAGCCCTGAGTGGATCAAGGTGATAAAGTACATCCCTATTTATATGCCTAACCGAGGAGAAGGCCAACCAGTCCTCTTAAAGGAAAATAACATTGTTTTCAGTCTCCATGGGTTAAAAAAATGTTTTTATAGCAATGTTTGGCACACAACAAAAGTTATGAGACAAATGTAGTATGTGCTAGAAAATGAGAAGAGGTGAAATGGATGATATAGGGAATTTCAACATGGAACTGGCATCCGTATAAAAATACCAAACAGACATTCTAGAACTGAATACTCTCTGCAATTAAAAACTGATTGAACATAAAAACGTTATTTTAAAAAATCATGATTACTACGTTAAAGGACCTAATGGAAAAGGTGGACAGCATACATAAACGATATGGAATTTCAGCTGAAAGATGCATGGTAACTATAAAGAGACACATGGAGCTGCGAGCAATAAAACACCCCAGGCAGGTGCAGCAGCAGGGCCGTGCGGCTGAGGGGAGGGAGGTGTGCGTGGTGCCCAGCACGCTGCTTCTAAGCTTTAAGTACCATTATCTAAGCCCCCATATTTATTTTTTCTCATATAATATAGTTTGATTTTTTTTAATCTTAAAAAGACCTCACTGATCTTTCTGATGAACGCATCAGAAGACAGGATCAGCAAGTACAAAACCACAGAAGGAATAAAGAGTGGAAAACAAGAGAGATGAGGCATGTGGGACATAGTCAAGTGGCTCAAGATGCATAAGCCAGAGTCCCAGAAGGGAGAAGATAGAGAATAGGGGGAAAAAATACCCAAAAAGTAATGGCTTAGAATTTTCTAAAACTGATGAAAGATACTAATTCACAGATTTGAGGAGTTCTGTATACTGCAGAGGGATAAGTCAGACCACATCTAGGCACAAACTGCTGAAACTCAAAGACAGAGAGGGGTCTTTAAGGGGGCCAGAGAAACTTCCAACGGTGCAACAGTAAGGATGAAAGTTGAATTTTACCCACATAAAAATATATGGAAGTGGACCAGTCAGAAGTGGACCAGCATCTTTAATGTGTCATGGTGATAAACACTGCCAATCTATAATTTGCCCAAGCAGAAATTAGGCAAACTGAATTTATTTTCTGACAAACAAAAGTTAAGTGAATTTATTGCCTGCTGAGCCATAACCATAGCACAAAGAAATACTAGAAAGTTCTTCTACTCTAGATGGAGGGAAATCACCTCTGACATGCATGAAACCGTGGCAGGGAAGGCGAGCCCAGCAGGGATGTAAAGAGCATACAAACAGCACCAGCACCGGCCTCGCGGGTTCACCAGGGCGCGGAAGGAAGCCACAGCCCGCAGCAGCACAGGGGCAGGAGTGGGGCAGGCGGCACTGCCCACGGGGAGGTGCCTGGATGTCTGGCAGGCAAAGGCATCCAACCAAGTGGGTGTATTACAACCTCTGGGGTGGCACCCGAGAGAGCGGTACAGGAAGCTACCACTCTAAAGGGAGGGAGAAAAAAAGAATAATAAAAAAACCATTTGATTAATTTATCAGAAAAGAAAGGGACAAAAACGTATGAGACACATAAAATTAGTAGCAAGATAGCAGATGTAAAATCACCCGTATGCACGATTACCTTAAATGTCAGTGGGCAACACACGCTAATTAAAAGACAAAGATTGGCAGGCTGTATGAAGAAAACAAGACCCAACTATATGCTGTTCACATACAATGTACTTTAAATAAAAAGTAAAAAGTAAAAAAGATGCACTTTAAATTTAAAAAAGTAAAAATAAAAAAGACAGTAAAGCATGGAAGATGTATCTTCTAAATACTAACCAAAACTCGTGGAATGCCTGTATTAGTATCAGAAAAAGTAGACTGTAAGGCAAGAAGTATAAAATGAGAAATATTTCATAAGGATAAAAAGGTTAATTCGACAGGAAGACCGTCTTTAATGTGTGGGCATCTAATAACATGGTTCCAGAACATCTACACGAAAACTGACACAGCTAAAAGGAGGAATACACAAGTCCACAACCACAGCTACGGATGCTAACCCGCCTCTCCCAACAGCTGACAGACAAGATAAACACATTAGAAAGGACACAGGACATTTGAGCAACGTGATTAATCAACTTGACTCAACATGCAGAAAACACTATATCCACCACCTACGAAATAAATATTTAAATATTCTTCTCGAGTGCATGTGGAATACTTACGAGCCTTCAGTTGTGTGGTAGGCCATAAAGCGAGTCTTCACAGATTTCAAAGGACTGGACTGAAGAGAATTCGTTCCGACCCGGAAGCAGGCTCCCCAGCCCAGTTGAGCCCTAGGAGTGTGCAGCCCCAACTGAGGGAACCAGAAACCCCAGCTGAGCCACCCCCAATTCTTGACTCTCAGAAACTGTAAGAGATGACAAGTGTTTACTCCCCCAGCTGCTGTGTTTAGGGGAATCTGTTTTGCAGCAGTAACTAATATATTTTCTAGCCTCTTCAGTTGGAAACTTACTGATTTTACACATTTCTCCTCTAACACATGCATTTAAAAGTGATAGATTTACCTCGAAGCACCCGTCAAACCCCAAGAAAGCAGAAGGCAGTGAGTGTGAAGAGCAGAAACCAGCGGCGGAGGAAACATACACACAGTGGAGAAACTTACAAAGAGAAAAACTAGGTTTTGAAAATACTAACAAAACTGATAAATCCCTAGTGAAGGCTGGTTACGGAAAACACCAATATCAATAATGAAAAAGGAGACATTATCATAGGCTCTAAATAACTGAAAAAAATAAGAGGAATTATAAGAAACTATATGCTTATCAATTTGACAATTTGTAGGAAAGTTCACTGAAAAACATATGTACCAAGGTTGACACAAAAGGAAATAGAAAATCTGAATAATACTACATTTACTAAAGAAATCAAATTGAAGATGTTTTTGAGATTAAGCCCTTATTTAACGACAATCAGGCATTCAGACAACCTTTTCTGTACAAGAGGTTCAGTCGGATAGAACCTGAGTGGCCTGGGTGAGGGATGACACATAAAGGGCTATCCTGTGATGGGAGGCGGGCACCCTGCTAGGGCTGCATTCACCGCCCCAAGTGCAGGATGGGGGTCGGCCACCAGGACAGGTGAGAGCTGAGGAACAGCCCTCCAGGCAGCAGGATGGTGTGTGTACCTGAAGCCCTCATGGCAAGTACCCCTTCCTCCCTCCTCCTGGCAAAGACGGAGGGACGGACTTCTGACCTGGCAGGGTCGGTGACCTGGCCTCTCCTATGCTGAAACACATCAGTCAGTGACAGCCACGATTACACCTGAGACCAGGGCTGGGGGCTGGGATGGGGAGGCAGGTGCTGATGCCCAAACACTCATCAACAGCAGGGAGAAAGTAGGCAGAGGTGGAAACAATGTTTACGGTATTTTCTTTTAGTGCCACTTAAGCCTTTTCAGCCTTCACGAGGACAACACCGATCCCGAGCGGCGGGCTCTCCAAGGCGCTCCGTGGAGTGGGTCCTGAGAACAGTGGGAGTCCTGGCACCCCCTGCCACCCGGGGCTGACCCCTGAGAGAGGACACACCTGCCGAGCCGGTGCTCGGGTGTGGCGAGGTTTCCGTCCGTACGAGGACACTCAGTCACTGGTATTTGTCGGCTTCTTCAGACTCTTAATGTTTCATGTTAAAAAATATATTCTGAGGCTGTGAGGCAGGTGGGCCAAGTGAGCAGCTTCCAGTGAGAGTTACAAGAGGGTGATTTCCGTTCAAGGTCAGTCCCGACTTCAGTTTCATCACATCTGCCTGTAGCTTCCTGGCCTTGGGGAGGAAAGGAGGGGATGCAGTCAGCCAGGCTGGCAGCACCTGGCATGGCACCTGTTTGCTTTAGATAAATGGATCCTGAGTGCAGGTGGCAGTGCCCAGCCACTGGGTCGCGTAGCCTGACCCCCCTGAGGAGCCTACTTACTGCGCAGCCCTGCGACAGAGCCAGGCCTTTCCTTCTCATGAGGACAGCAGCTCCTCTTGGAGACCCAGGGCCCCAGCTGTGTGAGTCCACGCCAGTCAGGGATGGGCCACTGGCCTGCGGCACCATTCCTGGCCATGATCCCCCCGACACAGGAACAGGACCGGGGTCCCTAGCGGCGGGGAGGAAACTGCCCAGCCTAGAGTGAGGTGCGTGCCTTCTGCTCCAAATCCCATGTTTCCAGCTGAACTGCTGGGCCAGAAAAGGGTGTAAAGAAGGACAAGGCCCTGTGGGAGGCCCCAGGGACAGGGGCCAGCAGTAAGGGGCAGGCCTCAGCCCCGAGAAGCTGGCCAGTGGGCAGCTGTGTCCACAGGGCCGGGGCCTGCCCCAGCCCCCAGGAGGCCTGTCCCGCGTCCCCCACCTCTGGCTGGGATTTCCCCCCTCCAGCCTAGGCACCCAAGACGCCTACGCTCCCCTCCCAGAGCACAGAGCCACCGCAGCTGCGGGTTGACGCTCAGGTCTGTGTTGTCAGTGTGGGCAAACGCTACCTGAAGCAGGTACCCACTGTTGACAGTTTCCTTTCTGTAGAAATTTGTGTCCTTTGTGGTAGTGACAACTGCTCCTTTAAAAAGTTTACTTTGTTTTCTACACACCTGTTATTGAATCCCCCCAAACTACGAGCCCCTGCCCAGTGGGCCCCCTCCCCTGTCAAACCCTTGGGCATCTGCCTCCTGGGACACCCTCCAGGTACTCCTCCCACCCCCCGCTGGGGCGCCTGGTGGTCTGCATGCAGATGCCTGGGTCCTGCCCCCTTTCTGTGGGCACCCACTCCCTCTCCCCCTTGGCCTGGGAGAGTGCACTCCTCGGGGGCTTCGGGAGAAAGGGCGCCTGGAGGGGGGTTGCGGCCCCGCCACCTGGAGGCACCCTCCTCCTTTCAGGCCCCTGACTCTCACCTGGGGTGGTGCTGGGCCAGGGCGGGCCTGAGATCGGGAACGGCCCCCCCGAGGGCCTCTGTGCCCCATGTCTGTCTGCGGTGCTTGTCGGCCAGGCAGTGAGCCCTAGGCCAGTCCTCTGGTGTGTCGTGTCTGTTTCCCATCCCTCGTTTCCTTTTCACTCTGTTTCCTGGTGGAGGCAGTGGGTGGTTATCATTCAACTTCATCTTTTTTCAATTAAAAAAAGTTTGCCCTAATTTTAACTTAACTCCAAGAGCTCTTGGTTATCTGGGTGTCGCTTCTGTGACGACTTGCTCCATGGTCGAGTACTTTCTACCGCTGCCCCCGGACTCCGTGTTGGTGCCAACTTTGTTTCTGACAATATCTCCATTTGTTCGAGCGTGCGCTTCCCTGGCTGGCGTGTCGCCCTCCCGCCCTGACCTTTGGCTCCCCTCCACTCTGCGGAGTGAGGGCTGGAACAAGCGAATGCTGTGGGGGCAGCGGCAGCACTGGAGGTGCCCCAGTGTCAGGACGCTGGGGCCACATGTCTCGGTGGGTCCACTCCTTCAGAGAGGGACCCCTAGCTCCACCAGGCCCAGCGCGGGGGGCCGGGCCGGACCCTCACCACTCGGGGCTCAGGGAGGTGCTACATGGCCTCTCGCCCAGAGTGGTGCCTTCTTGCTCGGCTTCCCTGGGGACCACACCCCCTGTCCCCTGCTGGGTGGGCAGGTGGTCAGCAAGCTGAGCAGGGCTGGGGAACTAACCTGGCCTTGTAGGCTTTCAACTCGCTATCTGTTTTTAGTCTCATGGTTCTGTGGGACCAGCCCCCTTGCCTGCTGTTGGCATTGCTTCCCGGGGTGCAGGGACATGCTGAGGACCGGCGCTGTGCACTGCGATGTGGCCTTGGTGGCCACCAGGTGGAGCACTTTATCTGAGAGGGCAGCTCTCAGTGCTGGCGACCCTTGCTCTGCTCCTCAACCCACAGCCTTCACCTCAGAGTCTGAGATGGCTGCCCCAGCTCCTGCCATTGTGTTTGCATTCCGGTGGGGTGGGGGAGAGAAGGACAAGCTCAGGAAGTCCACACACGTCACTTCACCACCTCTACTTCCCAGGGGTTGAGTGGGGGCACATGTCATCACGTCCAGGTATGTGCCCACCTCGGGCTACAGACAGCTGGCTGCCTCGCCCCTCGCGGGGGCTCCGTACCACCTAAGGATGGGACCAGGGCTTTGGCCCTGGTGCTGCTCCAGGGTCTGCACACTCGGGTCACGGTGCAGACATGCCCACTCTGTGCCCCGCGAGCTCCATGAGGGGTGGGCTCTCCTGGGGCAGGACAGGCTCGCGCCTCAGAGCGCGGGGCCTTCCCTGCAAGCAGAGCCGACACTGCTCTCTGAGGAACACAGGCCTTTGCTTTGAGGCTAGTGGCCCTGCATGGACAGCACAAAAAGAGATGCTCATTTGAGGTGGACTGGCACTACAGGACACTCAGGTCCTCAGATGCCAAATTTCAGAAAACACTATCATTAAGATCATCTCTTAAGATAAAGCCGTCAGACTTGCCTTCAGGCCCTGCACCTGCCCTACAGTGACCCAGCCAGTCTTGGAAGTCTTCACCTGCGGCTGTGCTCTGTGGCCTGGATCTTGTTTCTGACTGTACTGAACTTAAAAGGGCGTCTGAACGCTGCCCTGGCTGGTCCTGAAAGGAGGCCCACGTGAGGGTGCAGCGTGTGCTCTGCGTAGGTTTCTCCTGGCATCCAAGTCACTGCCCAGCCATGCCGCCAGGCGCTGCTAGAGGCCTGGGGTGAGGAGGGGAGGACGCGGACAGCCGGCGCCACCTGCGAGAGCATGATGCCGTGTCGATGCAGGCGAGTTCACGGGGGTCAGGCTCCGCTGCTTCCTGGCCACACCCCTGGGAATGTGAACCCCCTTCCTTGGCCTGGCTCCCCAATGCCAGCACCTGGAGTGTGGCTTGGTCTCTGACAGTGGTCTCAGAGCAGTTGGGGAGGCCACTCAGGGGTCATTCCTAGGGTTGCAGGCACTAGGTCAGTATGGGGCCAAGAGCAACAATACCGAAGCATGAACATGGGAAAAGTAAAGAAACACCAAGATCGCAGAGCAACCCCTGTTCTGTGTGGGGGGCGTGGGAGGGGGTGTATGCAAGACGGGAGCGTGATTCCACGGCGGCTGGCTGAGGCAGGAAGAGCGCCTTCCCACTCCGCATCCCCCCGAGCCCGCGGCGCGCCTGGGCCTCCAGGAGGCGCGGCCGAGCACTGTGGGGACGGTGCACCTGCTGGTGGGGACCCGAGCCACCCCGGCCGCTCACCTTAGCTCGCTATGCGCTTTCACTGACTTCCTGCTCTGCCCCGTTTCTCCGGTACGCTTCAGTGACATGCCCTTATCCATGAGGTCCGTGGCAAAGGAAATCTTCGATGCCACCTGGTAAAACACAACAAGATGCTCTCAGCGGTCCAGGAAAACACTGCCGTTAACACAAGCCAATCGATCACTAGACTTGTTCTTCATCTGCGAGATCAGTCGGTGGGCATCAGAGGGGAGCGTTCTCCCCGCCCACACAGTCATGAGCCTCCGGCCTCAGCCAGCTCGCGGCCCCAGGGGCCCGGGCCCAGCCCCAGGCTGGGAGCCGCTGGGAAGGCTGCTGCAGTGCCCTGCTCAAAATTCCGTCAGCACGACGGATGGGAAATGTACTGTCTATAAGGGACCCTGGTGTTCCACACAGATGTGGCTCTATCTTAAGTCACTAAGTTTCAAGCCGATGCAAAAGTGATGAGGTGAGGAAAGATCAAGTCTGATAGGTAGAAAGCCTATTATAAATCCACTGGTCCAGGGTCAGGGCCAATTAAACATTGAAAACTTAGGAGAAATACTTCAGTATTGGCTTTTTCTGATAAAGTGCGCTGAGGTTCCCAGTGACGGCACACTGCTTCCTCACGTGCGCTTCCTCACGTGCACACACAGCTTAGCTGCACCCTGGTCACCAGCCCCGTGCCCCCTCCCCGCCCCCGCAGTGAGCGCCTGCTTAACCTAGCCGCATGCTGGCCAGCAGGTCTCAACCATGTCCGCAGCCACCGCTATCATCCAGCATGACCTCTTCTAGTGGCCGACAGCCGCTCAGGCTGTGGCCCATGGGTTTCACTGGAGGTGGGAGGTGGCCAGGGGGCAGAGGGTGACGTCCAGGGCCAGAGGGAAACAGGATGGATAGAGGCTGACCTGTTTCTGGAAGCTTGCTGTAAGAATTCAGACAATTTCTTTAAAACTTCCCAGTTACAGTGTTTCATAAAATGCTTACACATCACTACAAATGCTAAAATGCTCATCATTTCTAAGGCCTGCCGACACAGCACGTGGGCTTCCTTCTCTGCCTGATGCCCCCTTTCCCTACCTGCGTTTGCCTTTCTCGAACCCTCCGTTCCCCTCCTCCCTCTTGGGCCACAAGTGGATGTCTGGTTGGGGCCCCAGGCTCTCCTAAACATATCCTGACCGGCCACTGCCTCCTGGCAGAGGGATGCCCAGGGCAAGCGCAGGTGTGGGGAGGAGGGTGGGACAGGTGGGCTCCTGGGCGGGCAGGGTGCCGAGACCCCAGCAGGGCCCCTCCCGCTGGAGCCTGCAGTAGGGCCCCCCCAGCCTGCGGCTGGAACTGTCCTACCTGCTGCGTCACCTCCAAGTGGATTAGCAGGGTGGCACCCGGTCTGGCCATCAGTTCACCAGGGCAAATGCCTCACTCTTTAGAGGTGCTTAACCTCCAGAAAAGGGAGGAGGGAGAGACGGGTGGGGGGTGGGAGGCAGAGCCACCGTGGCCTGGGCTGTGGACACAGCAGAATTTAGACCATCTGCCGACTGTCTGAGGGTGGGCACCCTTTCAGTTCATCAGGACCCCTGAGCAGCACCCTGAAGGAAGAAAACAAGGAATGCTAAACCCAGTAGATGTTCTTTAAAGTCAGGAATTTAATTTTGTTTTTAAAAGTATTAAAAGCATATTACTTGGAAAGAAGCCCCAGCCATATATTAGTATTCCCACAAAGTGCAGAGTTGGAGGACCCAACAGCCAGTCCCCTGGTGGGGGCACCAGGACCACAGACCTGGAGCAGGAGGGTGGGGGCCCATTCCGGTCTCTGGGAGGCAGGCTCCACACCTCGTGGCACCCTCTGCAGCCCCAGTCCCACGTCCAGGCCCCTGCACAGGAGTGGGGACAGGAGGGGCAGGGACGGGAAGGGCAAGGACGCAGCCCTTTCCTGCTGTGTCGCACACAGAGCTGGTGGCTACTGTTCCCATGTGCCCGGCAGACGACACTGGAAGGCACATGTCGGTCCTCGCAGGTGCACACCCAGGACTGGGCTGCTTTCCTTTCTCTGAGATGGACCGCCGGGAGCGCGCAAGGGAACTCACACTTCTGACCGGAACACGTGTTTTCCCAGCAGCAGCAGCGGCTGGCGGCAGCTAGGCTGGAACAGTGTCCACTCTGCCCTTCCTGTGCTGTCACCGTCCCTCTCCTCTGCCCCTGAACTGTACTCATCCACTAAAGTAAAGAAACACCAAGATCGCAGAGCAACCCCTGTTCTGTGTGGGGGGCGTGGGAGGGGGTGTATGCAAGACGGGAGCGTGATTCCACGGCGGCTGGCTGAGGCAGGAAGAGCGCCTTCCCACTCCGCATCCCCCCGAGCCCGCGGCGCGCCTGGGCCTCCAGGAGGCGCGGCCGAGCACTGTGGGGACGGTGCACCTGCTGGTGGGGACCCGAGCCGCCCCGGCCGCTCACCTTAGCTCGCTATGCACTTTCACTGACTTCCTGCTCTGCCCCGTTTCTCCGGTACGCTTCAGTGACATGCCCTTATCCATGAGGTCCGTGGCAAAGGGAATCTTCGATGCCACCTGGTAAAACACAACAAGATGCTCTCAGCGGTCCAGGAAAACACTGCCGTTAACACAAGCCAATCGATCACTAGACTTGTTCTCCATCTGCGAGATCAGTCGGTGGGCATCAGAGGGGAGCGTTCTCCCCGCCCACACAGTCATGAGCCTCCGGCCTCAGCCAGCTCGTGGCCCCAGGGGCCCGGGCCCAGCCCCAGGCTGGGAGCCGCTGGGAAGGCTGCTGCAGTGCCCTGCTCAAAATTCCGTCAGCACGACGGATGGGAAATGTACTGTCTATAAGGGACCCTGGTGTTCCACACAGATGTGGCTCTATCTTAAGTCACTAAGTTTCAAGCCGATGCAAAAGTGATGAGGTGAGGAAAGATCAAGTCTGATAGGTAGAAAGCCTATTATAAATCCACTGGTCCAGGGTCAGGGCCAATTAAACATTGAAAACTTAGGAGAAATACTTCAGTATTGGCTTTTTCTGATAAAGTGCGCTGAGGTTCCCAGTGACGGCACACTGCTTCCTCACGTGCGCTTCCTCACGTGCACACACAGCTTAGCTGCACCCTGGTCACCAGCCCCGTGCCCCCTCCCCGCCCCCGCAGTGAGCGCCTGCTTAACCTAGCCGCATGCTGGCCAGCAGGTCTCAACCATGTCCGCAGCCACCGCT